ACAACAATGGCTTAACCACTCCTGGCAACCCTTGGCAATTTTCTCTAGAGGGTTGCTAGACACTTGGTGAGTACGATCCATATTAGGAGGTGTTACTGGTTAAAACGCTGTCAAAGTCTTGATAGATTTCAATTCTTTTCAAACCCAGGGTTGTAATTATTCCTCTCTATTTGGTTAGCTAATTCATTAAATAAAAGATATCAAAAATGGAAGATAGTGATTTATCGGAAAGGCATTTTGTGATAATTAGGAGTATTTGATTTATAGTACAAACTAGGAATCCCAGGAATAACACAATCGGGTCAAGATTTACTGGATAAGCACGAACGAATTTACTGTATTTGGAATTCGAAATCAAGCATTCAACAAGTACAAAGGAATCATTAGTTCATGCAAACACCACGTCCGCCACAGCTTAAATTGGAGTCTAAGTGCCTGTAATCAATCGTACGTCTTCTTCTCAAGTTCATCCTGTGTCTGTCCGACAGCGTATTGGATAAAGACTCTGTATTATCTAGAATGTACTCATTAACCTTAGAATTAACAACCGAAATCGGTACAGACTCACTTGGTTCCTGGGATTGTATACAATCACTGTGTCAGTTGTATACCGAAACCACTAATATCCATAATTTGAACCATAGATTCCCCAACACTATCCCCCCCACGAAGTAATGTTGGATATTCACATCCCCAAGTTGTGAATGATGTAGATTCATTTAACATATATTTTTCACAATGAGTAGAGTAAACATTAAAAGTGACTTCGTGATAAGGATAAACAACAATTGATATGAAATCATCTGAATTTTAATCAAACTCGAGCTCATTTAGTACTTGTGCTTCGCACTGAACAAGTTCTCCACATCTGGTGCAATAACATGAGAAATTTGATAAGTTGATTAATTAGAAACTGTTGTATCACAAGGATTCTGAGTTTCACTTAACTCTGGTCTGTTATGTGACCCTACACTACTTTTTGAAGTCGTGGATAAAGATAAATGATCTTTAGAAACACCCAACTTAGTAGGATCGCAATTATAAATTTCAGCATTAGTTGTAGCGAAATGAACCGTAGTATGACAAACTGACTGAATGTGTTCGATCTCACCACATTTAAAGCATTTAGAATTAGGAAATACACATAAATTAAATGAGTGAAACCTGCCACAGGACAAACATTGATCAAACTTGTGCCCATCTTCCTGAACTGCATTGCAATTCCTCAAGAAATTATCTGCATAACCTTGAGTATGCACTGAATCGGAATGATGTAATGTAGTGGAGTTTTCGATATCCTGATGAATCATTTTACGAAATATTTTTCCTTTACCGCATTCGAAATTTGTATAATTATCATAGTCTAGCAGTAGTTCCTTGAGAGTTGTATAAGGAAGTGAAATAGGCTTTTCCGTTAAAGCCAGAGTTTTTAGTAAACCATATGATTCTTTTCCGATGAATGTAAGGAAATGTGCCATAATATTAACATCTTCAAGATCTTCCTTGGTCATAGCCCAGATTTCGAACCTTTCCAATATAATCCTCAAAAGCATCAAATTTTGAATATATGTCTAACCATTCCATCACAGGCTCCATCGCGACGTCAATATGATAATTAGGAGTATTTGAATTATAGTACAAACTAGGAATCCCAGGAATAACGCAAGTGGATCAAGATGTACTAGATAAGCACGAACGAATTTACTGTATTTGGAATTCGAAATCAAGCATTCAACAAGTACAAAGGAATCGTTAGCTCATACAAACACCACACAATTACCAAAAATTCCAAGCAAATATGGCCACAGTAGCATATTACTTTATATCATATTCCTTTAACCAATTGGCTGACCATTTGATTGAAGTTGACGAATTTACTGTCATATTAAAAACTTGCCAATATTATTCAAATGATTAAAATATTCGCATATAAGTGATAACTATTTGGATTAATACGAAAATGATCAAATTAATTTTTAGATTCATTATAGTGGTTATGTATAGAGGTTTGTCTGACACTGATACATACGCTTTATATATGCATGCCCAATCAAGTGATTGAGTAGGAAGCCTTTATCGACTAACCGAATCGAGAATATGTACACAAACCCACTCATAAATATGCACGCATCTGTCAGACAGTTAGGCTCGATCTTTAACCAATAATGTATATTTATCCCCCCTCAGGAAATCAATCGAAACCTTGACAAATAAGCTTGTGCAATCATTTACTATTAAGCTGGTTTTGATTGGCCTATTCTATCAATATTCGTCACAGACTGGTCTCAAATAGACTACCATTGAAAACCAGAAAGAACTGTATAAATGTGTTGTCCAAACGTGAAGCCTCTCAGTGTTGCGTAGTCACGACCTCACCAGAAACCAAACCCAGGACATTCAGGTCTCGTAGCAAACGCTTAAGCTCTAAAATAACCGGGTCGATGTCCAGAAGTGCAACTTCAGTCAACGTGAGGTATGATGTGACGACCATTCGGTGCCCCAACATGGAAATTCGTCCCTGAGTATAGATTGCTCATCTTCTGAAGCCTGTGTAAGGGCCCAAACTGTTTTTAAGTCCCCATATTGTTTAAGGTAAGGTATTCAAGGCTAGGATTTTACCACAAACTGACACCAGCTGTCATGTAGGATGCTCTGTCGCCACTAGGATAAATGAATTTCGAGCAAAAATACAACAGGTATTTTCTGAAATATAGGGTCTCCTGATTAATGCTTTATTCAGCATTCAAAGGTTAGGATAAAGGGATAGTATGAATTTGTCTGTTGCATACAACTTACAGAGAGAGGAGTGAGTAGCTGATACGTTTAACACTATCTACTCTACCTCTATAGTGGCACAAAGCAATTTCCCGCTATCATATTAAAACTTTCTGAGCACTACACAAAAGCATTTCTACCGCTCGCTGAACGTGACATTTAGATTTTCTTCATAAGCCTAAAAGCTGTGTTCTTGATTCCGATTTTCCCTTTCATATACTGTATTTTTATCTTGTAAACTATACACATACATAATGCAATCTTGTAAACAAACATTTACGAATAGAACAGGTAAGCGGTAGTAACAGTCATCAGTGTCAATTTCGGCTAGAAAACTCCCAATAACGAGTCCCAACAATCTTAAAACCTTTGTTCAAAAGGTTTTGAGAAGATTTAACATCACGTGTTACTGTTACTAGAATACCTCAGAGATTACTTTTCCAGAAAATACAAGTATTACCACACTTGTTGCTACAACACAGCCTCAGAAAGACTACGTTTCGAAATATTCTGGATCAACCAAGAGATTGCAATTGTTCTCAGAACGTAATATGATTGACTGACTGTCAACCAATTAAGAATGAGTTTTCGATCGGTATAAATCTGTAGACAAAAAATGAATCCAATATTATAAATATTTATTTACTAGCCGTTCATTTAAATTTTCCCCTAACTAACTTTATTTGAATGATATGACTTTCGGTATATAGTAGTGGGATTGGTAACGATATCAAACAGACACATCGGAGTAGCGCAAATCGTAATATCTTCCAAAAAATGCTTGATTTATGATACTACGTAGTGTAAACAATCAGAGTAGTATATGGAAAGCATATATACACCGACTAACAACTAACTATACAAAACAAGACATGTTACAGAAACCTAAATGTTTCAGAGTTTCTTTAGTTGAACCAAGCCTAACAGGTACTCTCATAAGTTCACTTTTAGAAAAACTAACAATAATGAAAGACGAAAATAGTACGCTGGAAAAACTTGCCAATGGTAATACAGTGCTTTCATAGCAATGACCAAGACAAAGAGAAAAAATGAAAGGTAAGAGAAGTGTATCTAATCAAAAATGATTACTTTTAAGTATTTCATCATTTTAAAAATTGCACCCAGTTAATTTATCAAATAGGACAATCCCAGCGTAAAACTTAACGAAGTCACCGTAGACTTAGAGTTATATAGTAGTATTGACTGTTAACAGTTCAGAAATAATACGACTAACTCATTCGTCGGGTATTTGGATATGAGCAATACTTAAAGTATGAGGATTAGTGATACTACCCGGTTGCCAAGAAAAAGTAGGTTAGAGCAGGGTTTGAACCTAGAACTTAGTAGTTGAAATTCGATAGTCTGAGAGAAAATCAAAGAAGATTAGAAGTAATAAAATTCTCTTCTTTTACAAATATATTCATAACCTTAGAAAGAATTGGATTATGTTAAACGCCAACTTAGCATTAAACTATGAAGAAGTTAGAAATAAAAGAAACACTAATTTGTGGACCACAGATATATTACTTGCTTTGACACCATACATATAGTTCATTAATTAACATATAAAGCTGTACTTGACTGTGAAAGTTAACAATTTTCATATATTCTACAAATGCAATAAATTTTAAACTAACTGGATACAGAAAACTCAATTATATCCATAAATATCTATCGTAGTAATCATAATAAATCAATGGTATATATATTAATTAAATGGAAGTTAAATGCCTAGCAAAAAAGCAAAGTCAATGAAAACATGAGACTCAAATAGTAATAAGAATGATCATTATAGTTGTTATTATAACTGGTACCATTAGCACTCAACCTGACGACCGTATGGTGAAATTAAAATTAAAAATTAACATATAAAAAAACAAAACAAAGCGATGTAAGAAATGAGTAGAGGTATTATATATATCTATATATTAGCGATTGAGGTGTTTTCTATGTCAATCCAAAGGACACAATTTAAAAATCATCTATCGATATAAAACTAAGGAAAACAAAATGTATCAAGTATAAAATAAATAAGAGTTAGCAATGGTAAAGAATAAATGCATTTGTATCGGTGGATCTATTGACTTCATTATGTAAGGAAAAAAGAAAGAAAAATGACCAACAAAAGAATCAATGACAATATATGTTGCAATAATATATGAAATGATAAAGAGAGAGAGAGAGAGAGTGAGTGTGAGAAACATTTACATAAACATTAATATATTCTAATTTCCTGTATTTATAATAATACTACTTGTATCACTGGAGACAATTTGTTCTGGTGTTTTGTGATCACCACAAACAGGCATTTCATGAGTGTTAGATCTGTTTGACTGTTGTTGTTCATTATCTTCATCGTCATCATCATCGACATCATCTTCATCTCCATCATCATCGTCTCCATCACCTCGTCCTACTTCATCATTTGAAATTTGACTTGCCTCACCTAATTCCTTATGATGTGACTGATTGTTTAAGCATGAAAGTATCTCGTTTGATTTCGTCTGATCACCAACTCGAGCACGTTTGGTCGCCACATACAATCCAGCTTTGTATTTCTCCATATCCTATTTTTAAAGGAAAATACAAATATGTAAGAGTATAGTAGATAAAATATTCCAAAAGTTTTCAAATATAAGTGTAATTCTTTTTAGATTTTACAAAACAGTTAAGCAAATACTTTAATTTCATGAGTATTGTATACTTTCTTAGTCCTATTCCCCTATTATTTAATTATATATATAGTGTTCAGCTATGTTTAAACCACTGGACGGGTTATATTTAAGTTAACCAATAAGAACTTTAATTGACTGACGTGGTTTGAATGTGGTACGCATGAGTAAACAGTATCTACTTTGGGATAGTATAATAACTAGACTGAATCGTAAGTTGAAAAATAGCTAAGAGCAAGGGAATCAAAATATGGTATCACTTCATAGGGTTACTGATTGTTGGTCTGAGTTCTGTGCGGAGACACACACTTTCAGGTTGAAATTTACGAGATTATCGCAATTTATGATTGCATATCTTTGTTGAAAGTTAAGAAGATAGATCACAGTAACAGAGGTGCATTCACTGCTTATTTCCACAAAATTTTAACCCCATTATTTCTTCATAGTTTTTATTACCTGTTCCCACTAGGTTTTTTAACGATGGTTTCATGTTTAATCTTCTGTTTTTAACCTATTGTTAAATTTTACAAACTCATGCTCATGTGAAGTGCATTCTTGGACCTTCACACATTTCTGCTAGTTTCAGCGTATTTGTATTTGTGTATTTGATTGTCTGTCCTGTTATTCAACTTTTGGGAAAAGTTATCATCATAGATTTATGTACTAATCTTCGAGCCACATTAATTTTATGATAGTAAAGTACAATACTCGATTCAAAAAGTGGAAGTCAAACATCTGAGCCACTAATTCTTAGTTTTGCAGTAGTATTTATTTATGATAATCTCCAGGATATAAACAACTTTCCAAATACTCTACTGTTGTTAACGATTATCAGGTCAATATTTATTTGTAATGGAGACACACTGGATCGATGCCCATATGCATCAAGTTCTATGCTGCTTATGGCTGATTGACTCCCGAATATTTATTATTAGACTGATTTAAATTTACAAACTTTTCAAAAACATGGGTGAATAGGTAACCTGAAACACCACTTTTGTAACTCACTTGTTCATAACGTAATTTATCATTCTGTGCGCGTCTTTCGTATTTCTCTTTATCGGAACACTCTTCCCATCGTCTACCTAACTCCTTGGCAATATCACTAACCTTCCAATCGGGGTGCTCACTACGAATTTTTGATCGAAATGCATCGCAAAAGAAGAAAAATGCTGACCATGAACGTTTAGGCATACTTGGATCTTTGATGCGTCGCCGTCTACGACCTCGCTTCATTCCGACTGGTGGTATATAATGAGCCATTTCTCGATTGAATCTCTCCGTATCTAATTTTGCCATTTCCTCAAAACATTTTCGTTGTTCCAAATTCATGAGCTGCACAATAAGGAATAATTAATCATGAGACAGTAATAATGCTTTTTAATTCTTCATACCTTCCACTTTTCTGCACACTTCTTAGAAAATTCACTGAAAATAACATTTTCTGTCGGATGTTTTTTTCGATGTTCCTCACGTATTACTTGCACGAAACATGCATATGGTGTCATCGGTGGTTTAGGACGATTCTTATCTTTTACCATCATTCCTTCCGGTGTAGAGTGGACCTCTAGAATCTATGATTGAAAAATGCATGGCATTGTGATTATTCAAAAAACCACCACTGAACAAGATAATAATATTCAATTTGAAAATAAATAACTACCTAGGATATTTCGCAAAATTAAATATAACAAATGGAAGATAATTATGAACCCAAGAGAGAAAGAAATTTTTAAGGTGTCTTTTAAATGCTGACATGTCATACAACCGAAAACTCAGTAGCTTCGATCAATAACATAAACCGAAAGCTGAAACTACAATCATTCTACTCCGAATTTCATCTACAAGTTGACATGCAGCTTTATTTATTTATTATTTAAATACATAAATATTGGTACAAGGAGGCAACAAACAGATATGCGCCTCATAAATCATTCGATTTATTTGAGGGCTGGGATACTTCCCGGGTGCCCAAGCCGAAATGGGTGGTTGTCTTAGGGGGCCACACCCTGAGCCTTTGACCTGGAGGTCTAATCCACAAGGTAGTGGATCAACGTAAGGAAATCTAGTCCCATGGTAGCCGGTGACCAACAATAGATTCATACGCCATTTGTTTCCTTAGGATCCTGGAGACCATGTACACCAATGGTTTGGAATCAAGGTTTTCCAACTCCCCTAGGTGGGATCCTCCGTATCCACCATGCAGCTATTATTTATTTATTTATTTGAACATATAAATATTGGTACAAAGGGGTACATTAACTTTGAGATGCAGACACATCCACCTGCTGAGTCTCAAGTAGAACGAAACGCACATCCTAAAATCCACTGCTAGCCACAATCCATCCCTACAAACACACGTAGCTATAAAGATATGTATGGTGATAAAACTAATAAAATTTCAAGCTTCAGGCGATTGTAGTAAAACAACTTGACAGATGAAGAGACGATCAAAGTAACTACATAACAATAAAATGTCGTCACTAACCATAAAGTCAATGCAAATGTATCATTTGAAAGCAAGTATTGAACTCCATTTAGTTTTTCTTATGCTTGCAAGCATAACCTCACACAAACTGTGGAAGCCATAGAAATGAGCTCAAACAAACCTGACTTTTGCATTCAGAAAACTTGATGTTTCCTGATTCTTTATCTAACCATCTGAATGATTTCAGAATTATTGATGAATTTTTTATTTTCGTTGCTATATGTCTCAATGTACAAACGCCAGTTTCATATATACAGATATGATTCTGCCCATAATACTGGTTGTTGTTCTGTTGTAGAACACCTTTGAAATATAGAGCCAAATATTTTCCGAATAAAACTTAATTAATAGTTAACCACATATTGTTCCGGTAAGGACTACATAAATATATATATGTACTGATTATTAAATTCAGACAGACCTTGGTAATCTATGCCAAACTCAATATTTCATTTGGAATCTGAACACTGCTCGGATAGCTCAGTGGTAACGTCTCTGACTGTGAAGCTGGTTGAGACGAGATCGAATCCACCACGGAGCACCAGTTTCCTCAATATTACAGGTACATCTTGTTGACGAGTGCTAAGTAGCACGAAACCCTGGTCCAGGGTTTCCTGTCGACTACCTCTGACCACCATTAAATTCTACGATAATGCAAGCAGTGTCGAGTCATCTAGACTGGTGGTGACATTGCAATATGGTCGATAGCATTCGATCTGCACTAATAAGGACTAGACACGCATGACATTGATCACCACCCAGTGATCAATCAATTGTGACAATAATATGTTTATTATGTGTTTTTATGCATGTGTTTCACCATTCATTTAACTAAACTGAACGTGAAACCTGAATCACTGAACTCTCCTTCTTCCAGTTTTTTACCCAAAAATTCAAAAGTAATGAGGATTAACAAATTAGATAAACCCCCTTGATTATTCTATCCTTTTAGGTTTCAGAATGGTAAGGTAATAAGTAGGCTTTTATCTATCAAGATAAATATGAAAATTCGGTGACTCTTCTATGTTGTGAATCAGAACTAACATTATTTATATTGATTATTCAACTCATCCCACTGATATTTGGGACCGGATTAGTCTGGTACATTAAACCTATGAGTCCTAAATATGACGAAACGTATGTTCACAGTTTCCCTGCTAGCCAACATGTATCTCTCTTTATGACCTTGAATTTTCTGTAAGACTTCTTGTCAAGTTTTCGAAAAGTTCGACTGTACTAACGATATTATATTGTCGTAGTGCATGACGTTATATAAAAAAAATTACAACATCGAATCCACATTAGTCAATCCTGACACAAAGACATGGTTTTCAATGTTTGTCCAAATTATATTGCATAATGATTTTAATGAAATTCAACAATCTGCAAAATCTCATACTGACAGTTATATTTTTGTGTAGAATTGATTATTTCAAAGAAAACAATCACATAATTACATCCGGAATCCCTAGAAACTAAGAATTGACGGGCAATCTTTTTATTATTAAATATTGGCATTCGTAAGTATAATAATCTTAATCATGCATAAAGTTAAACCAAAGATATTCCCAGCAGACTTGACATCGTCAGCCAAAATTTTTAAATCTAACAATCTATTTCTTCAGTGTTTAATAAATCTGGAAATAGGAAAAAAGTAATCGCTCATCATATTTTTGTTGGTGAATTATCCTCCAGTTCCTATCAGTTAGAGATGATAATTTTTTTTAAAAAACAGATCTGTATATATATATATATATATATATATATATATATATATATATATATATATATATATATATATATATATATATATATATTGTATATGAAGCAAATAGAATAGAAAGAAGCAAAACGACGCGCAGTGAAGATGGCGGGTAAGCCAACTCCATTTAGTCAAGAGTTAATCAATATTTATAGTCACACAAAAATAAGCTACAGACATGTGATGAGTAATGGGATAAGAAATGTACGCACACGTACGCGCTCATATAAAAGCAGTCAAGATTGATAAACGGATAATTATTAAAAAGGTCAAAATATGACTCAAGTAGAATGAATGGATTGGGCTGTTCGAATGCTAGAATAAGGTATATGAGCTTAACATAATAACCGACATTACAATTCTAATATCGCAGTGATAAGGGTTCTGTATTGGAATTCATGATATTTCTGCACAAATCTTCCAAAAATAACGTGTATTCAAAGTTGGCTTTATTCACAATATTCACTGGGAAATAGAAATTACTTGCTTACTTACGCCTGTTACTCCCAATGGAGCATAGGCCGCCACCTGGAGACCTCCTGGGGCTACTGCCGGTTTCAAGCTCGGATAAAGGTGGAGGGTTTGACATGCGGTTAGCGACCCCATCCCGTAGAATGCTAACTAGCTAAATAAATGCTAACCTGAAAAAATAATTCAAACAAGAAATTATTTTAAACAAAAAGCACATATTGCACCATTTTCATACAAAACAAATAGGGTACAAAACCTTACTCCGTGAATAAAGGTTTTCAGTGAATCAAAATAATCAATATGAAAGTTAGCTAATTTATCAATTGATCTCAAGATTCTCTAACAAAAAGCTTATCAATATCACTTTTCCTGTCATTTGATGACAAACAGCTAATGATGCTTATTCCCATTATCCATTGAATAGTTGTGTACCTCTATCAACATAACTAACTGAACTGGAAATGAAAAAAACAACCATGATTCGAGTAATAGATCACCTACCCGTAAAATCGGGCAGTGATAAAATCTGAGTTGAAATTAAATAACTTATAGGGTATAATAATCAGTAGAATATAAAGGACTGACATCTATCAAAAAGCTTCAATAATAATAATAATAATAATAATAATAATAATAATAATACTGAATTGATTATTAACATGTGTAGACCAATAGAATGCCCTTGTTAAGGTAAAATAACCGATTGTCTGATTATTCTATTGAATAGTTACATGCACTTATGAGATCTATTCAATGATGCTTGTTCTAATTATGATCCATGTCTCTTCTTTATGATTTGTAAATGTGACAACTTTTACATCACACCTACTATCGTTCCTTCTAATTTTTTTTGTTGATAACACTTATAAATAATTTCACTGGTTGAAATCATGAGTCAATTGAAGCTAGACGAGCATGGAAAACCTGGAGGCACTGAACGGCCGTTTCGTTCTAGTATGGGACTCCTCAGCAACCAGGTCTGTTGTGAGATAGGAACTCACTGAAGACAATTGGTGTACGGTGGTGCAACTTTGTGGATTGGTTGAAGTTAGACATTAACACCGTTAGATCCCAGCTGGCTCAGTGGTCTAGTTGGTTAAGCGCCTGGCGCGAGACTCATAGGTCCTGAGTTCGAACCTCGCGTGGTGCGGGATCGTGGATGCTCACTGCTGAGGAGTCCCACAATAGGACGAAACGGCTGTGCAGTGTTTCCAGGTTTTCCATGGTAGTCTAGCTTCAATTGACTCATGATTTCAACCAGTGAAACTTCTAAAAATCTCCACAAAACCCATTCTGATACTTATAAATAATATCAATTTGTTTAAAGCATTTAAAATTCTGTGAGATACATTGTTTTAAACATAGATCACCAACAATAGTTAGACATAAATTCACTTTTAAAAATACTTTACATAAGTCATCTTGTGGATTCAAACATATTGACAAGCGAACACTATCACCATCATTGTCATCATCATCATCATCGTCTTCTTCAAAAGGTGGTTGTCGTTTCGTAAGACATTTTGTGGGAATTTGTAAGTAATCTATGTTTACACGCTTTAGGATAGTTGTTTTTTGTCTAATTCATATTAAAAATCCATGCAGTTTAAAATCTCTCTTATACTTTTCATTTTCATTACAGACTATTCATGTGTTAAACTATTATAAGGATATCTATTTTTTTCAAGAATGACAAGAGTGACTTACTGCTTCAATCGTCATAAGTAATAAAGAACTCGATCCTGTGACTAAACGTTTGATAGTAAAATTCGCCAAGCAATATGTTAGAACAACTAATCTCTTTATGATGAACAGTTTTGTCAATTCATCATTGGGTTAATGAAATTACAATCAGTGTATATTTCCTGTTTTATTCATGGCATAACTATCAGGGATCCAAACTGTATTTAATTAAATGTACATAATGCTTTTCGACGATTAATGATGATGGTATCTGAATATACTTGCACCAAATATAATACATAGATTAATATCTACCGATTGCAAATGATAATTCCTTTCTTAGTATTTCGTACTACATTCATCCAACGGGAACATAGATAGACAGTACTCTGCTTTGATCGGAAATATCATTGAAATAAATACACTAGAAAGTTGATTAATCAGTTAATTTTGATTAGTCAGATAGATGAATAAACAATCGTATCATATTTTACACACCAACAATATGAGTCTATGTACTAGGTGAGAAAACGAGTATCCTGATGATCGACATCTGTTGTATTTACTTCTAATTCTGTATACTCTCATTTTAAAACCCTACTCCGTAAGTCAAACCTTCCAATGGAAGTTTAATTGTAGTACCTGAGGATGGTTTAAAAAAGTGGAAAACTAATTGTCATAGAACCTCTGCAATCAAAACTCATTTATCCTCTTCACCCTTTATTTTTGCATCTTTTTTTCAATCTTCTTTGAATAAATGAAGCTAAGAGAGTATATTTAGAGTGGTGGTTGGAGGTAGTTGACAGTAACCCCAGTCCTGGGTTTCGTGCTATTTGAAACTCATCAACAAGATATATCCTATACTCTTGAAAGAACTATTTCTCTCCATTGGAGTCGATCCAGTTTCACTTAGCTTCATAGTCACGGGCGTTATCATCACTGCTCAGTGATTGATCAGTCATATAAAGGAAGTATAATTTTAGCACATTATTCCCTTAAAATTTCATCTCTAAAAACTTCTAGTCTTCAATTTATACACGCCAACTAGTTTCTTTGGTCTGTTTGATCAATGAAGTCACAAAACATGTTTTCTGTAGGGATGATAAATTAATGATTCCTTACAGTACCTCCCTTTTTATTTCAGTATTAGAATGACAGTGTTCTCATACTAAGGAAGCCAAGTAATCAGGGTAATATGATTCAGAATACCAGACTCTAAGTATAATACATAATGATATCAAATCACTGAAATTTGTACCGAAATTCAATTTGCTTTTTGATGAATTTCAAGTAAGCCTAAAATTTTCAGTATTCTAGCTATAATCTAAGGGATTCATCGAAGGTATTCTCCTTAACAGAGACTAAACATTTTCATTATTATCAGAAGGAGTTTTTTGTGGATATTATAGTAATTTCAATAGTTGAGATCATGGGTCAATTGAAGCTAGATCATCATGGAAAACCTGGAAGCACTAAACGGCTGTTTCATCCTAGTGTGGAACTCCTCAGCAGGAGAATACTGTTGGGGACGATAGATCCCCAAACTCGTATTTTTACATTTTATCGCATCGATCAACTTATTGATTAAATGTTTAAATATTGTATTGGGGTCAATGGATGAACTGATCGATTAAATATTTGAATAGCAGTCAATAGATGAACTATCGATTCAATGGGCAAATAGGTCAATTTATGAACTCATTGATTAGTGTTTAAAAATTTTCTATGACAATATCGATTATATATATATTTATGTTTTAAATTGTGCTTGCTTGCTTGCTCGCTCGTTCGTTTCCTGGCTGTTTGCAGAATATATTTTCCATACCAAGCCTGGACTTCTTCTTCTTCTAGATAGCGGGGCTGGGACGCGTCAATAGTTAGATCACTGGTCTTTGGTCACTGAGTATTGTTCTCGTTCGCAATTTAAGTGAACTCGTGAAGTTTCAAACATAACAAATACTCCATAAGAAAAAGTGTCTAAGATTAGTTGATTGAGATTATTTTTACGTTATCACACTTATCACTTTCTGTTTTAAATGTTTGCTTTTCAAAGACACAGAAACAGAAACCATGTCATCTAATAGAAAAGATAATAGCCGAATAACTTTATTAACTGGATCGAAAAATCGACGTAAAATTGGTCGCCATCAAAGTGTAAAACACAATGAACAAAATGAACAATATAATAAAAATCATCAAAATTGTTTGGATATTAATAAACTTAGTAAAGAGAATTAGAATCTTGGTTTACGACGTAATATTTTGTGATAAAGCCTAATTCAGTAGACTGCAACACCAATAGTCAAATTGTAGTGAACAAGAACATCAGTGAGGAACAATCGAATGTATTTCACAGCAAATTACAGAACCTGTTAATAAATTCTAACAACCAGTATAGTAAATGCTCAATTTGTAAAACAACCATAAGTTGTCTCAAAATGACCCACACTTTATTGTTTTTGTATTTTCAGATAAATTGCAATCTGTTCCCTTTCTTTACTGTTCGATCCTCTTGTTTCTCTGATGTCAGATGTTCTGTTCCTGCCGAACGTTATATACTACTTATGTCAATCTAAGTAGCTCACTGCAGACATATTTCACTAACTAGAATGCACAGCCCATTCACTGTCAGTTGACTGCAGTCTCCTCTGTTTCACGTGAGATGCCCTTTGTGAATGCACTTTGTGGTACACTGAGAGTTGATTGATCGACCGAGAAATGCGTGAATCAATGCTTAATTGTGATCATCGGTTGGTTGATGTGATTGTGTGTAGTTTGCTGGTGTTTATTTTCACAGAATGTATGCAAGATCGTGTAGAGTGAAAAAGTAGAAGGGCAACGAATTGCTGGTAGATTGTGTGGAGAAGGAGTGATCGAGAAATCATGAAGACAAACAGACAGGCAGGTAGATAGACAGAGAGCAGATAGAGAGATAGACAAGCATGTGGGTGAACGGACAGTGGGAATGGCAGACGGAGAGACGGACAGAAGCGAAGACAAAGAGACAGAGCTCATAGAACAGAATCAATTACATCCAACTGCAGTCATGTTTCACTGACTAGAATGCACAGCTCACTCACTGTCATTTGACTGCAGTCTCCTCTATCTTCTCTCTCTTTATCTGGACGATGAATGGCTTCAAGTGATGTCTTCAATACTCACTGACAGAATCCTAACTGGTAAGGTATTTTGATGTGTATTTCTCAAACATTGTAAAATAGTTTTATTGTGCCGTACTCCAGAGTTTTGGTTCTCAAGACAGATATTAGTCAATTTGAATTTGACCACAAAAAAGCATGATTTCTTATAGTACTTCAGTTCATTCATATGAGCTATATTTGTTAATCTACTTATAACTTTTATTAGTAGTATAAATGAAATCTCAAACTTTTTACCACACTTTACAACAGACTGAAGTCATTTGATTATTTAAATTAAATTATAATATTATTATCACAACATACTGTATATTTATAATAACAACATTATATACAATTGAATTTAATGTTTAATTGAAAATTTGTAAACAAGTGACATTAGAAAGCGCATTTTCAATTTATGACAAGATATACTCTTATGAATATGAGGTATTAGATTGATTGACTGATTTATTAATTTATAAATATTTCTCTTCTATGTGTCCATTAAATGAATATATATGTGTATAACTTAGTACTAATGCAAATTTCAATGTATTTAATACTGATGGAAATGGTATTTCCATTGTGAATATCCAAATCAATGGTATTTATAGTCATTGTGTAAATGTATAAAGATTTACAATCCATGAATTATTACTTATGCAGTTCAATATTAATGATCATTAATTTAAGAAGTAATTTATCCAATTTTTAACAAATTATGATATTTTGACAAGTATTTTAATCGATCTATTCAGGGTTTGTTTACAAAACATTTTAAAGAATAAAATGATATATTTAAAATTGAATGTAAAATTCATTCGAATTATAATTTCCATAGATACAATAATGAAGAATAGACAGATAGATAAATAGATAGATAGATAGATAGATAGATAGATAGATAGATAGATAGATAGATAGACAGATAGATTAGATAGATAGATATATAGATAGATAGATAGATAGATAGATATATAGATAGATAGATAGATAGATAGATAGATAGATAGATAGATAGATAGATAGATAGATAGATAGATAGATAGATAGATAGATAGATCAGATTAGATAGATAGATAGATAGATAGATAGATAGATAGATAGATCAGATTAGATAGATAGATTGACGTTGTGATACATTGTGTTACATATATAAATGAAATTGAAACATGAAGAGTATTACATAATTCATATATAAATGTTATTTCTTATTATATTTAAATCAAAGATGTACTTTTATAAAATTGTGAATCCGGTAAAATTTCATACATGAATTTATAAATCCATTGAATAAACCATGGTATACCATTTGAATTAATTAAATCTATTTCATTATTATATTCATTATATTGAAATAATTTAATTAATTTATTTATATAGAATAATAAATAATAAATGAATTTCCATGGTGATATAATAAATGATGCTAATTGATGATTAGATATATAAGCAAAACATGATACTAAAACATTATCTACAATTATTGTACCAGTATCAGTAATTGGTGCATATAAACCAATTTTATATTGTGTATGATTAATCAATAAAGAATTTTTTAATTCAACTGATATAATTTCTGCTTGGATTAATTCATTTGAATGAAGATGATTATAAACAAAAATAATTTGACCTTTTTTAACAGTCGATGCAAATACAGCTTTCTTATTCATTATGTTTATATCATTACTATTATTATTATTATTATTATTATTACTATTTACTATTGTAGTATTGTCATATATAAAAATTAAATGATCTTCAGTTAAATAAATACTATTCTGTTGTTGTTCTTCTTCTTGTAGTTCTTGTTGTTGTTGATGTTCTCGTTGTTGTTGTTGGTGGTGGTGGTGGTGTTGTTGTGCTAAATTTGAATGAATTTGATATTTAATTTCTATTAATGGACTCCATGCATGTTGATCATAATCAAGGAAACCAAAAACTAATGTATTTGTTAAAAGACCATTTAATGGATTTTGTGTGATTATATAATCACCAATTTTTAAATCTTTCATTGATATTAATTGACCATTTGATTTATATATTTTTGATTCACTAGGAAAACAACCAAACCATTGAGATGTAACAATAGAATCTAAAAATAAAAAAATAATTTTTTTTTCTTAAATTGAATTTTTAATCATTTAGTTATATTCAAAAAGGGGTTTTGTTGATATGATAGTAGTTTAATTGTTGAATTCATGAGTCAAATGCAGCTAGACCATCATGGAAAACCTGGAAGCATTGGAGTTCTAGTGAGAAGTAGTGACTAGTGGAGTTCAACCGGGTCACTTGTGAGATAGTAACTCATTGATGGTAATGGTGGACGGTGACTCAATTTCATGGATTAGTTGAAATTAGACATTAACACCGTTGGATCCAAGCCAGCTGAATGGTCTAGAGGTTAAGCGCTCGCTCTCGATACTGACAGCTCCTGGGCTCGAAAATCGTGGGGTGCGGGATCGTGGGTGTGCACTGCTAAGGAGTCTCATACTAAGACGAAATGGTGGTCCAGCGCTTCCAGGTTTTTCATGATGGTCTAGCTTCAATTATCTCACGAATCTAACAATTAAATTTAATGACATAATTTTAGAATGATTTAAAATATTACATACACTATTATTTATTCCTAATTATTTAAAGTGGATGAATTATGAACTAATGTATTATGATAGTATTGAGATTTGCGGAGTTAATCTAAGGTGGACCACCAGTGAAATCACTGAACGGCTGTTCCATCTTAGTATGGGACTCCTCAGAAGTGCTTATCCACAATCATTTGCGATCGATAGTATCGTGCATGATTGCTTAACCTCTAATCGATTTAGTCAGGATCCAATGATGTTAATGTCTACGCTTAAAACATAGTGGATATGCACTACTAAGGAGTAGTATAATAGGACGAAACGGCCGATCAGTGTTTCCAAGTTTTCAATGGTGGTCTAACTTAAATCAATTCAAAATTTCAACTATAAGAATGTATTATAGTTTAATGGAAGTTACACAGGAAATACGGATATAAATTTTTTCTTTTCTTTAATTCACAACCACATCTCCAGCATTTTTCGTCTAGAGAACTGTTACTCAATTATAACCGGTTTTTAATTCGTACATAAATAATATAAATAGTGATTTATGATTCATTTTATATCACCTACATGATTAACACAAGTTCATAAAATAAACTTCAATAATTGCTATCAATTTATATTCTTCATGAATATATTATTTTAATAAATAAGATTTATATCAGATGGGTTTTGTGGATATTATTAGTAATTTCAATGGTTAAGATCATGAGTGGATTAAAGCTAGAACACCATGGAAAACCTGGAAGCGCTGGACGGCCGTTTTGTCCTATTGTGGGACTCCTCATCAGTGCGCATCCACGACCTCGCTCCCCGCGAGATTCGAACCCAGGACCTATCAGTCTCGCGCGCGAGCACTTAACCACTAGACCACTGATCTGGACGGCATCCGACGGTGTTAATGTCTAACTTCAACTAATCCACGAAATTGAGCTACACATCCACCATTGTCTTCAGTGAGTTGCTATCTCACAACAGACCTGGTTGAACTCCACTGGTTTTCTATGATTTTCCAGGTTTTCTATGGTGGTCTAGCTTCAATTGACTCATGATCTTAACCATTGAAAATAAGATTTACTTAGTTTTACAATTCCTTTTTTAATAATGACCACTCATAAATAAACAATCTCACGGTTACTAAGTATGTTTAAATCTTTATAGTTTTAATATTGAATCATTTGAGAAATATGATGATCTATTCTTTTAATTATCAGTTCACTAAAATTAATATTAACAACAAATTATTCTTTTAAAGTCTTCTCAATAGTTGATAAGTTCTGATGTATTTGTATTGTTGGATGTTATATTAAGTCCATATGACTTATTCTAGCTTCTAAATAGGCCAATTTATCCATTCTTCTTGATTCATGTTATTCGCTTATCAATCTTGACTGTTTTTGTATGAGCTTATGTATGTGCACTTCTTATCCTATTCTTTACATCATCTGTAACCTATTCTTATCTAGCTATAACTATTGATTAACACCTGATTAAATGGAGTTGGTTCACACGCCTTCTCCACTGAGCGCCATTTCGCTTCGCTCTTTTCTTTTCTCTTCTTTCACTTCGTCCCTCTGATTGATCGTTCAGATTAATGTGTACAAAGTATACGTATTCAAAATTTCATTCTCAATATTTGACTTATTTAATTTCGTCATTCACTAACGCGATTTAAATCGATAATTATATAAGAGGATAACCGACATATGTATTTCAACAACATTCACACGAATCAAATGTCGGGTCACCGTCGATAACATCGTTCAATTGATTTAACGTCAAAATGAATGGTCCCACTAAACATTTCATAAATAATTATCCAGAAACTTATAAAATCCTTTATATAAATTATAATTTACCAGATCAAGTTTTAAATTTTATGTCTTTCGGCAATCCTTTTTTTATTATCTTAAGAATAAGTATACATGGTAGGTAAAGAATAGAGAGAATAAAGTAAAAGTTTTATTTAGACTAATGTTTGTTTTCGTGTATTTAATGCTCAATATTTTCGCCAAATTTTCTACTACACATGTGTTATACTGTCTTGTTGAAGTTGAAGTTAGACATTAACACCGTTAGATGCCGGTTGGCTCAGTGGTCTAGTTGGTTAAGCGCCTGACGCGAGACTCATAGGTCCTGAGTTCGAACCTCGCGTGGTGCGGGATCGTGGATGCTCACTACTGAGGAGTCCCATACCAGGACGAAACGGCTGTCCACTGCTTCCAAGTTTTCCATGGTGGTCTAGCTTCAATTGACTCATGATTTCAACCAGCGAAATCAATTTTTATGTTTAATTTTAATGTTAATTAATGGGTTATTATATTTTCCATAATGAAAATTTATTTACTGATTTTATTATTATTAGGAAAGAGGTTTTGTTGAGACTGTAATAAGTTTAATAGTCGAATTTATGAGTCGATTAAAGCTAGACCACCACTGAAAACTTAGAAGCATTGGATGGTCGTTTCGTTCTAGTATGGGACTCGTGAGCAATACGCAGTCACGATCCCACTCGCCGGATACGCACTGCTGAGGAGTCTCATGCTAGGACGAAACGATCATCTAGTACTTTCAGGTTTTCTATAGTGGTCTAGCTTTAATCGACTCATGAATTCAACTACTAAATTATTGACTATTGATAAACAAAGTTTCCGTTGAAAAAAATTTAGTTCATTGCATTTTTTCTTAAACTATCATAAAGAATTTTATAGAAATGCTTATCTATTGAATTTACTATTCAATTGATTAATAGATCAGTATAGTTTTTCACTTCGACAAACTGTTTTGTTTTGTTTTCTAATGATACATAACTATCTTATTATAATCTTAGAACATGGTAAAAACTTTAACGTATTTTACTGTAAATGAAGTTAATAAACAAACAGCATAGTTCACTAGTGAAAAAGAAGTCGAACTCTCTGATGACCTAATACTTACATATATGAAATCATCTTCAGTGAACTATCTTTCCTATTGAGATCATGAATCGACCAATGTTACACCAACAGTGAAAACCTAGAAGCACTGAATGACCGTTTCGTCCCAGTATGAGATTCCTCAGCAGTACACATCCATGGCCCCCCATGTGGGACTCCAACCCAGGGCTTTCGGTCTCACGTGCAAACGTCTAACTCAACAAACTTCACAACCCTATACTTATAATTATCATGTGCTCACTAGTGACTGACTGCAAGATGAATTTCATGGAGTTCTAGTGAGAAGCCGTCACTAGTGGAGTTCTACCGCATCTGTTGAGAAGCAGTTACTCGCTGAAGACAATAGTGGACGGTCGCGTAATATCGTGGATTGGTAGAAGTTAGACATTAACACCGTTAAATGCTGACTTAGTGGTCTAGAGACTAAGCATTCATGCATGAGATCGAAAATCCTGGGTTCGAGTCCCACATAAGGGATCGTGTATGCGCACTGCTGAGAAGTCCCATACTAGACGAAACAGTCGTCTGATGCTTATAGGTTTTCCAACGGTGGTCTAACATTCATCCATTTATGATATCTATCAAAACTCAACAATCTCTACAACCATAAACTGTAAATTTGTATTAATCAGGGGGGAATTTATAAGTGTCATTTTAAAGAAAGTTAATACACCATTTATGATCTCTAAATAAAAGCAAAATAAATAAATAATTAATTAATTATATAACATCAGTACAATCGAAGATAGTCGCACAATTACGTAGATTGGTTGATGTTAGACATTAACATTATTGGTTGCCGGCTCAGTGGTCCAGTAGGTTAAGCGTTCGCATGCGAGACTGAAGGTCCTGGGTTCGAGTCCCACAAGTAGGATCATGGATTTGCGCTACTGAAGAGTCCCACAATAGGACGAAACCGTCGTCCAGTGCTTCCAGATTTTCAATAGTAGTCTAACATCAATCGGTTCATGATCTCAATCAAAAGTAATTCATTAATTATATAATATCAATTAACTAACCAGGTTTAACAGAACAATGTACATGACCAGCACGATTAAAAAAACACCAATCAAAATGTGCTACATAATATGCTATTTGTGCTAATACACCTAAATGTAAATCTGAATTATGTGGTCTACCAAATTGTCGTGTAATTAATTCCATATCTACAGCTCTACCAGCATAATGAAATTCTTCCATACGTAATTCATTTAATTTATTATTATTATTATTATTATTATTAGTGATTAAATGATTTTGATTAGAATTATGATCATAATTACGATGTTTCCGATCAGTATTAGATGTATAGATTGTATTAATTGAACGTTCAACTAATTTATGTAATGCTTGATCACTTCGATTAGATGAATGAATTTCATTCATTGTTTGATTTAAATGATAAATTGTCATATTTGATTGTTTAAGTAAAACATGTCTTGGCAATCGTATCATCGTATCATATGAAGAATCTGGTAATGATGATGAAACTTTGTTTGGATTGAAAAAATATCCAGATGATGTTGATGATGATGATGATGATGTTGGTGACGACAATGATTGATGTGAATGAGGATTTTGTGTTGGATATGATGAAAAAGATGATCTAGGTATAGAAGAAAAATGTGTGATATAATTTGGATTATTTTTTGTTGAAGGCCAACGATTAGTTTGTGTTGAAATACTTTTTGATGATGAAATAAATTGATTAAATTTTAAATTTTTCGATTGTGTTCCAACTTTATTTGAATGAGAATTAATTTGAATGAATTCACCATCCATCATTTCTGGTGTCATATCAATAATTGGTGCATCAAGAAATTGTCTTGATTTAACTGGTACAAATGGTAATGCTCTTTGACCAGAAAAAACTGTTGGTGAATTACCCAAAAATACTGGATTACGACCATTTGAAACTTTTTCCATTTTAGAGTTTTTCTCATAAAGTAATGGTGAGTCTTCATGATTATCTTCTACATTATCATCTTGTGGAAGAGGTTTGTAATTTGGTGGCGGTTTAACCCATGAACGTATCACTCGTAAAATAACATCTTGTTTAGCCCATGTATTATGTATCTGTGTCGATAATTTGATCAGTCGATCTCGACAACCCTAAAAATGTAAAAATTAAAAAGTTTTTATAGCTTAGCTTATTATTAGTTTTGTCAGCTTATAGTAACATCTGAGTCAATAAAAACTGAACATTGGACTATAGGTCTTTAAACATGGCATTTGAATGGAAATCACAAACCATTATAAGTAAGATAATCACTCAAAATTTGGAAGTAATGGACAGCCATTTTGTTCCAGTATAGAACTCCTAATCAGTGGGAATTCGCGACTCGGCATCATGTGCTCACTGGTATCTTGCTTTGAGATAAAATTTCTAAAGTTTTAGTGAGATGCAGTAACCTGTGGAGTTCAACAGTTGTGAATATGAGCAAAGTACCTCCGAAGATAGCGAAGTATTGCCACTCAATATTGTGGATTGATTGAAGTTAGACTTGTACACCATTATATCCCACTTTAATTGTCTATAGGTTAAACGTTCGAGCACAAGACCAAAGGTTCAGTATTCGATTACCTGTTGCAGAGTCATGTGTATCGACTCTTGAGGAGTCCTACACAAAGAGGTAACAGATATTCAGTACTCATTGGTTTTCAGTGTTTGTTCAAATTATATTGCATAATGACATTATTGAAATTCAACAATCTGCAACACCTCATACTGACAGTTACATTTTTGTGTAGAATTGATCATTTCAAAGAAAATAATCACATAATTACATCTGGAATCCCTAGAAACTAAGAATTGACGGGCAATTTTTTTATTATTAAATATTGGTATTCGTAAGTATAATAATCTTAATCATGGGTAAAGTTAAACCAAAGATATTCCCAGTAGACTTGACACCATCAGCCAAAATTTTAAAATCTAACAATCTATTTCTTCAGTGTTTAATAACTCTGGAAATAGGAAAAAAGTAATCGCTCATTATATTTTTGTTGGTGAATTCTCCTCCAGTTCCTATCAGTTAGAGATGATAATTTTTTTTAAAAACAAATCTGTTTCCATTTTCTGTATTGGATTATATGAAGAAGCTGTACAAATGTATGTTCAGCTTACTCACAGAGATTAACTAGTAGTGGGTAATTAGTCCCGACCGTTGTTGCTACCTTGACGTGGTGTTCAGGCTTGCCTATCGTGATGAAGCAACCGAGCTATACTGGCTGGAACAACCACTCCTCAAGGTCCTACCATGTCAGACAGGTCGGTTGAAGGGCGTTAAGAGTAAAAGCAACAAACCTAAGGTCCGAAGGCGAAGTCGTACTGCTGACTGTATGAGAGGTGGGACAACAGTAAGATGTGTCCTTCAGACAACCAGCATAACAACGACGCTGCTTAAAACTAGTTAAATTATTCTTTATTGAGCTGATTAAACTGATGTAATGGATTCGAAAATCGATTTACACTGATTTACTATTATGTCTAATTGATATTCTCAGAGACTATGAATTTTAATGAGTCCTGAATGGGATATGAACTCACTCAAACTTCTCTACTCAAAACTGTTAAATATTGAACTATAAGTTTTAGTTTCACTGAATAACAATTATAACTGTTTACTTAAAAAGTTGTATATTCAATATAGTCACTTAAATTTAAGGTATATAAAAATAGTCTTATTTTCTCTGATTTATCCGTTAAAACTAAGATAAAACTAGACGAAAACTGAAAACCTTGAAGCAATGGGCGGTTGTTTCGTCCCAGGATGAGACTCGTCAACAGTGTACATTCACGATCCCTTATGTGGGACTCAAACCCAGAACCTTCGGTCTCGCGCGCGGACGCTTAAGCTCTAGACCAGTGAACCTTCAACCGTGTTAATACTTAATTTCAAGCGATCGATGATCTTGCACAACACTTCATCCATTGTTTAAGGATTGATAACTGTATCACCCTCGACACAGATTGAACTTTAATTGTCACGATTTCTTACTAGAACTCTAGTAAATTCATCTTAAAGATAATCATTAGTGAGCATATGATTATTATTATTGTAGGGATTTGTAGAGATTGTATTATTTTAATGATTGAATTCACGAGTCAATCTAAGCTACACCATTATTGATTGACTCGTGAATTCAACTGTTAAAATACTGCAATTTCCACAAATCACCATAATGATGGAATAAAACTGTCAAACTCTTGACTCAAAAGCGTCTAACTATGTTTATTAGATTAGATTATCTTACTCTTTAAAAATTTCAGTCATTGCATCTAGAGATATATTGATGAGTATATCCGACCTTTTGTAACTAATGGCGGATTTTTTGAATAACTTAGTTCAGGGGATTTTGGAGATTGTTGAATTTCGTAGTTTTTCATGTTTTTATTATTGAGTAATTTCGACAAGTTATTCCCTGAGTCCTAGTGAGAAGACTTCACCAGTGGAACTTAACTATATCAGGTGTGAGACAGTTATAATTTTATGACAACCAATGATGATCCAACAATATTGATAATTTACTGAAATTGAAAATATGAACCATTGGATACTAACTCAGTAGTCAAAATGTTGAAAGTTTACTGTATCGCTCGAAATAACTAGATTTGATCCGTATTAGAGTCGTGAATGCTCACTGTTGTGTAGTCTCATACTAGAACAAAAGTGTTATCTAATGCTTCCTGGTTTTCGATTGTTGTTTAACTAAAATTAGTCTATAATGTAAAGATACATAGTTAAAAGCACTGGCTTATTTAGTAATATTTTGTTTGATTTATTATACAGTTGTTATAAATGGGATTAGATGTTCATCAGGCTAGATCATTAGTTGACGGAAATTGAAATTGTACTATTGTACTCTGATCAAGTGGTTCTAATAGTTAAGAGCTCACCGAGTGACGTAAAGATCCTAGGTTAGGTCCTTCTTATGGGTCGTGGATGTGGACTGCTGAGTCCCATATTAGAATCAAACAGTTACTTAATACATCCTTCCTTTCAATAATTCCCCCCTCCTTATTATTAAAAATCAACCCAATTTCACTTTATCAGAGTTAAAAGGGTATTGTTTAAACAATTGACAGAAATAATTTAATTTCTATGAATAAAATACATATCACAAAGACAATATACAACATTTGACATAATAGATATATCTTATACACATCTTAGAATAATTCAGTGTGAATTGATATACAAATTTACAATTTACAAGTGAATAAGATGTTCAATGCACAAGGCTTAAAGATACTCATACTCATACCAGTGTTCTTTCAGCATCTATTTATTAAATAGGATAGATATATTTGAGAAATGTCGATGTTCACACTAAGACGCAAACCCAGTATCTTTCACTTCAAAAACCCAAGGTGTTATTCACTGAGCTAATTAGTCCATATAGACGCTAACGTTTTCAACGAGCATGACAATCAACTCTCATCAAGTTAGGAAGCGTCTAAACTCATTAACTCAGACATATATATCAAATTTATGTATATTAAAATGGGAACTTACTTAATGGGTTACTTAAATACAACATTAATTCATTATGATTCGGTAAATTAACAGTTTCTTTTCTTCTTTAATATGAAAGAGGAATTATTATCATTATTGATCCAATCATTTTTCTTATAAATGAACTTAGATACTTTAAACATGATGAAACAATCTTCCAAATAATTTATGTATTCGATTATTATTTTGGTGGTAGAAGTGAAGCTTCCATATGAAGTTTGTGCTGATGATGTCGTTTAGAAGAATGATGAAAGCTCCACGACCAAACTATCCAGCTCAAAGAACAAAACTCCATCAAAAACTCGATTACTATCTTCATCAATGTTTAGTATTTAAATGTAGGGTGGTCTGAACAACTTAAGTGTTTTTTAAACAGATTTTTGGCATTAGGCTATTTCAATAATCAAATTTATTCATCTATCTATTGATTAGATAGAACTTGAATACTTCTATTATTTAATGTTTTAAAACTTTATAAATGCCTTTTGTTAGTTATTTCATATCAGATTCTGACATGATTTCGAAGTGTTAATTCTGTACAGCCATTCTAGATTTTTAAGAAAAATTTTGATTCAGATCATCGATCGATTGATGTTGAACCACCATTGAAAACCTGGAAGCACTAGACGAGCGTTTCGTCCTAGTATGACACTCTTCTAAAATGAGCGTATATGGGATTCGGACCTTCAGTCACTTGCGCGAACACTTAACCTCTAGACCATTGAACTGGCATCCAAGAGTGTTAATGTCGAACTTTAGTCGTGTAAAAATTACAGTATTATTATAAAATCTCTGTGTAGGTTAAGTGTATATTTTTCTTTACACTGTCAAAAAAAGTCATGATATAAGAATAATAAGACTTAATAATCAACTTAAAATTTTGAACGTTACTCATTAATTGATTTTAAAGAAAATCAGTTAACGCACTTGACTGACCACTGGGTGGTGATCAATGTCATGCTTGTCTAGTCCTTATTAGTGCAGATCGAATGCTATTGATCATGTTGCAATGTGGCCACCAGTCTAGGTGACTTGACACTGCGGGCACTATGTATTGAGATTTAGATGGTGGTTGGAGGTAGTCAACAGGAAACCCTAGACCCGGGTTTCGTGCTACTTGGCACTCGTCAGCATGGTGTACCTGTAATCTTGAGGGAACTGGTGCTCCCTGGCGGATTCGATCTCGTGTCACCCAGCTTCACAGTCAGAGACGTTACCACTGAGCTATCCGAGCCGCGACCGACCTCCTGTAGGACTGAGATGTAATCACAATTGATTGATCACTGGGTGGTGATCAATGTCATGTGTGTTTAGTCCTTATTAGTGCAGATCGAATGCTATTGATCATGTCGCAATGTGGCCACCAGTCCAGGTGACTCGGGTCCAGGGTTTCCTGTCGACTACCTCCAACCACCATCTAAAAATCAGTTAACATTAAAACGTAAAGTTACAAATCACTTAGCTCATAATTTATAATAAGAATAATATTAATGTAGATTTCAACAGAAAATAAAATGTATGTTGTCAAGACTTTAAACAAATTTGACAGAGATAAATTGTTGACTAGAAATCAGTAAACACTGAGAAATAGAC